TGCTTCTTGGGTGGCTAGGTCGAGAAAACACCCCCTTGTCACCCCCTCCAGCAAACCCTTCTGCACCTGGATCACCTCTTGCGCCCCTTGAGCCTTCGCCAGAATACCATCAGTTGGAAGAGCTCAATTTTGGAATGATGAATGTGGAATCTCAGCACCTCCTTGCCGTTGCCCGAAAGTTTGCGCCTACGCTCAAGAGACTAGAACTACACAAGGTCACCCTCCGACGACGCCTGCCGGATGGCCACTCAGGGACTCCGCCAAAGACAAGCTTCTGGAATAAGTTTCTAGAGAAGCTGAAAGACATCCCCAACCTCGACTTGCGTCACATCAAGATCAGTTTTCCTCAACAGCAGTGGGCTACACGCCCGACCCGCTCCTTTGTCACCTTTGAAGGCCAGAGAGAGAGCGTGAAGCAATACACCGGGACGGATTGGAAGTACTTCGTTGGGCACGAGATGATGCCCAAGATCAACGTGCAATGGCCGAGTGAAGATAGCAGTGCGGACGAGGGTGATGATGACGATGACGGTATTTGGGACCTATATGCGCTTGATCTTTAAGCGCGGGGTTTTGCTGACGATGTATGACAGATGATTCCGACGAAGACGACGACGACGACGGGGAATAGTTAACAGGTATCAGGCGGATTACATGTTTATAGGACCTAATCTAAGGTCTACTAAGTCTACACTAAATTATCCTAAACTACCTGTCCTACATTATCCTAAATTAACCTAAACATCTTCTCATCGTTTAGGATGATGTCCTGGTCCTGAATTTTCTTGCCTCCATTCAGTGGCCTACCCATAATCAACTCATTGCATGCTACGGCTCTTTCCGTATCTTTGATGACTTCCATCCCAGCCATCGGATGCTCTCCCCTGAAGTTCCAGGCATGATCCATTTATTCCAGGCAGCCATTCCCACTTTGATGAGTTTAATTGATGTCACATGATGTCGTGGCGGGGTCGCGCCTAGAATTCTGGTCTTTTGGCGCGTTGGTGCCTGGAGCGCGTCTCCTCGGCTATTTGAGGATGACAGAATGAGCGAGCAGGTCGGGCTCGGTGGTCATTGAGCTTTCAAGACTTGTCGCTTTGCCTCCGTAGGTCAAAAAGTGTATTTTAGCGATACATGAGTGTGATAATAGGTCATTTTCATGTATTTTCTTTTAATTCGGCTTCAAACGCAATAACAATAGTCTCTTTTATTCTTTCAATCGCTAAAGCTTAGTAGCTGGGTCTTTTTGTCACCCTGCCCCAGCTGTCAAAGGGATCGCTCCAAGTGGGGGGTTTCAGCCTAGATGCCCGTGCTGCCTTCCCATTCAGCTGGACGTCACCTCATATGAGCTTGAGCTTACGGGAACCTTTAAAATGGGAAGGCGCCGACCTCATCTCTAGAACTTTCAATTTCTCCTCAACTCAACTCAACTCACCTCACTCTCCCCTCTCACCCTCATCTTCTTCTACTTGTTTCCGTCTCGTAATTTGCACCTCGCACCATTGGACAAGGATCGCTCGCCCTGAGATTCGGCGATTGCTGCATTCGGTTCAGCTCAAAGTTGTTGGGTATGACGCCCCTGAACCAAGCTCTTTTCTCCACGCGACGGATGATTAGGGCTATTACGAGCTTTGCTAACTTTGTCTTAAGTTGAGACAATTCCTCTCTGAACTCTAACACTTTCCCCCAACTCTTACACCACTTTCAATCACACATCCGCCAAAATGCCTCCTAGAAGAAGAGCTGCCGCGAACCCGCCAGCTAATCCACCTCTGGACGGCTGCGCGATCGCAGTCAGCGGCAAATTTGACGACATTGGCCACAGTCATTCCTCTCTCGAGGCTCTCATTCGCAAGCATGGTGGATCATTCACCAGAAGCGTCACCAAGGCTACCACTCATGTTGTTTCTACTCAAGATGACTTTAACTCCCAAAGCAACAAAGTCACAGCGGCCAAAGACAAGGGCCTTCCTGTCGTGAACCCTTTGTGGCTCACTGATATCGAAACCAAGGGTGACAAGCTGAGTGCTGACGACTATACCTGGGACTCTGCTTCCAAGACCAATGGCGTCGCTAAAGCTGCCACCAATGGCAAATCAAAGAAGCGATCTCCTCCTGCCGCTGATGATGAGGATGAAGAGGAGGAAAGCCAACCCAAGTCCAAGCGCGCAAGGAGCACCAGCGTTGCGCCAAAAGCCAAGGCTAAACCCACGGCGGTCAAGAGGAGCACTAAAGATAAGGCCCCAGTTGAGGACGAGTCTGAGGAGGAGGAAGAGGCCCCCAACACCAAGGCCAAGCCTAAGGCTGCTGCAAAGAAGGGTGCTAAGGGCAAAGCTGCTGTCAAGGATGAGCCCGAGGAGAACTTGGAGGATGAAAAGCTCGTTGCCGAGGGCCAATTCATCAAGAAGAAGGATGTCGCAATTCCTCTCGATGAGCACTGCACTCTCCCCACCTACCAAGTTTATGTTGATCCTGACTCTGGTCTCATTTATGACGCTTCACTGAACCAGACCAATTCCTCAGCAAACAATAACAAGTTCTACCGCATTCAGGTGTTGAAGAATCCCAAGTCCACTGACTTCAAGACTTGGACTCGATGGGGTCGTGTTGGAGAGATGGGTCAGAAGGCCATCCTTGGAAACGGAACCGTTGATGACGCTATTAAGCAGTTCCAGAAGAAGTTCAAGGACAAGTCAGGCCTCGCTTGGGACAACCGTACCGACAACCCCAAGCCTGGCAAGTATGCGTTCGTGGAGCGTAGTTACAATCCTGATTCTGATGATGACGAGGACGAGGACGACAAGAAGGCTGTCAAGAAGGAGGCGGATGATGAGGAAGACAACGCATCTCCTCCTGAGTGTACACTCGAGAAGCCTGTCAAGGAACTGATGGAGCTCATTTTCAACCAGCAGTACTTCCAACAAGCCATGACATCTCTTAACTACGACGCTAATAAGCTGCCACTGGGCAAGCTGAGTAAGACAACTATTACTCGCGGTTTCCAGCAGCTCAAGGACCTCGCTGCCTTGATTGACGACCCAACCCTTGCCGCATCAAAATGGAACATGTCCATGGCTGCTGCTACTGAGCACCTTTCCAACACCTACTATTCACTCATTCCCCATGCCTTTGGTCGAAACCGTCCACCTATCATCCGTGATAACACCCTACTCAAGCGAGAAATAGAACTTCTCGAGAGTTTGTCTGACATGAAGGACGCAGCGGAGATCATGAAGATTGACCGCAAGACGAGGGATACTATCCACCCTCTCGATCGCCAGTTCCAGGGTCTCGGCCTTGAGGAGATGACTCCTCTTGACCACAAGAGCAGCGAGTTCAGCCATCTCAAGAACTACCTCAACGAGTCTCGCGGTTCTACGCATAACATGAGCTACACAGTCAAAGATATCTTCCGCATCGAGCGACAAGGCGAGTTCAAGCGTTTCGATGACTCCGAGTACTCCAAGATTTCTTCCGATCGTCGTCTTCTCTGGCACGGCTCACGAGCGACAAACTATGGTGGTATCCTTAGTCAGGGTCTCCGGATTGCCCCTCCCGAGGCTCCTGTGTCAGGTTACATGTTCGGAAAGGGTATTTATCTCGCCGATATGTCCTCCAAGTCGGCCGGATACTGTTGCTCTTATAACACTGGTGGCGAGGCTTTGCTTCTGCTTTGTGAAGCTGAGCTGGGTGATCCTATTCAGAAGCTCGTTGATTCTAGCTATAATGCTGGCACTGACGCAAAGAAGAAAGGCATGCACAGTACCTGGGGCCAAGGTAGAACCGGCCCCAGCAAGTGGATCGATGCCGGTGTTGTCCATGAAAGCCTCAAGGGCATCAAGATGGTAAGTTTTCAGTTCCTCCAAGTAGTTGTTTGTCCTTGTGTGTGCAAATTCTAACATTATTTTAGCCCGATCCCAATGTCAAGCCTGGTGATACCAACGTTTCCGGTGCCGGCCTGTACTACAATGAGTACATCTGTTATGATGTTGCCCAAGTCAAGCTGCGTTACCTTCTCCGAGTCAAGATCTAGGACCATGACTTGAACTGGTAATGACAATGCTTGCCCATGAAATAATCAGCGACCATCCATATTCATAAATGTGGGATTACTGTTTATTTGGGACATCATGTTTCTTTGTTTCACGGTTATTTATGATTCTCGGTGTTGGCGCACCAGCGGGATGTTTTGACATGCGGGAACACAAAAGTGGTTGCTGGAGTCAGGGTCACCACTGGCAGTAGACCAAAGGATCGCAACGGCGTTATACGGACAAATATTGTTTGACTCTGATGTTTTCATTCGTTTCTCATGTGTCTCTCAGACGACTGTATGTACATGAAGGTAATACACTATCTAGAACATCTGCGCATTATCGTGAAGGGTATCATATCCCTAAATATCCGTGCTTTTTATTTTTCAATATTCCAACTCTTGCTTGATTCTAGATGCGGGTCATCGTGATTTGGTTGTGCATAGTACTAGATGTTCTTGGCTTGTTGTCATCCTCATTTTTTGAAAGGCCAAGATCCGATGCTGACCGTGACCTTCAATGCATATAAGTCATATAGGTAGTAAAGCTGAGCTCCAACACTTTGTACAATTGAGCTTTTATCAAGTGGTTCTGGGTATATGCCCAGAAACATGCCCGAGGACTCTCATGACTCAAAGTTCGTGGTTTTTGGTGAGTGATAGGGGGTGGATCGGCTGATATTGATTTTCTAGCTGGTGGTGGATGTTTTTGTTTCGTCTGCAGGGTGTAAGGCGGCGGCTTCTAAGCTCGAGAATTCGGATTCGTCTGCATACCTCGGTTCCATCGCCTCAGTGCAAGTACTCCTGCCTTCGGAGGGTTTGATCGGATCATCGGGTAAAGAATCGGGGCTTCGGGGTGTCATTGACCCACAGCGAGATCCGACACTAAATCTGGTGTAGATGGCTCTGAAGAACTATTGAAACTCCTCGAGCGGGATTCAAGTCTTCTAGCCTGATCCAATACTTTTCAGGCTCCAACTCCTCCATTGAGAGCATCCATGCTCAACCAGTCGTTGTTTGGCATCCAAAGATTCTGATCAAGTCCCATCCCGTACTCCAGTCCACTATCCGTGCCTAACCCATCGGTACCTCCGTCGTAGGCGTTGTTGATCTCTGAAATTCCAAAGTCTTGACGTGGTACTATTTCGGGAACGCTCACGGTTGGTTTCGAAGGGGCTTGGGCTTCGGTGCTCGGGTGTGGCAAGTCCGGGGAGACTTGACTTTCGGGGACCCACGGATCGGCGACGAGTGAAGGAGGGAATGTTGAATCGGTCATGGCGGATATCGAAACAGAGTTCATCGAGCTGAACTGGTTGGGGTCGCTCATGTTATGATCATTCGCGAAGCCATGTCGTAAGGGTTGTTGCGAAAAGCCATTATCAAGAGGGAGTCGACCGTGCTGATCTGGTGTTGCGGAAGGTCCGCGGATGGCGATTCCATGAGTTATTAGCCTCTCCAGATCTGCTTGAATGCCTTCTGCCGTCTTTCCCGCGCAGCAGGACTTGATAGTTGACAGGCAAATCTTTGCCCGTTCCATGACGGCTTCCAAGTTGAGGTCATATTTCAAAGCATTAGTATGATACGCGTATGTTAACACGCGGGCGCATTGATATGCGCAGATAGCCATATCCAAATCGGTTACAGGTTTCGAGTTGAGTTTGTGCATAGATGAGAAGATATTGGCCATTGACATGGCATGTTCGACACATTGTCGTTGGCAATGGTCGACAAAAGCATCGTCGAGAGATGCAAGAATCACACGAGGAAGGGCTTCCCGCAGACCACCCAGGGCAAGACGGTAAAGGTCGATCTGACATTGATGCCACCAAACGTGAATCATGATGAATGTACATATTCGAGGAGAGTAGGCTCGGAGTCGCAGTGAGCTCTCTGAAAATTGAAAAGATGCTGGTAAATGGGTTGCGAAATCACTGAGGTCTTTCTGCAGTCCCCAGATACCGGCTTGAAGTTCATCGGGCTTGGTGTTTCGAGATAACATAACGCGTCGAGAAAATTCCATGATTCGTCTTCGCATGTGCTGTATGCGAATGTGGAGAGCTAGACTTCCGGGATCTTCGGCCTGGGGATTTCGAGGTTTGTCGGGATCATGAATGAGTCTCTCGGTCGGTTGTGGAAGATCAAATTCAAAGTTGCGCTCATTGCATGGCAATCCTACATGAATCTTATCAGCACTCCAGAGAGAGTAGTCACGATAGCCGCCCGAGACACCCGAATCAATACAGTAGAGTGCCCACATGAGTCGACGGCGAGACTCTTGGGCGAGGAAACAAAGATTTGGAGATTCGTGATTCAGACGCAAGGCTGCGGCGTATCGGGAAGCGATACTGAGCAGCATAAAGGCGCTTGGAGATTTCTTGGACAGGATACGATGCTTGATAATCAGGACAAGCGCCTGTACTTTGATGGTTGAAGGCCGAGTGTAATCGGCAAAAATGAGAGCCTCAGCATCGTCGATACATCTTTCACCATATTCCTTCATGCCCGGTCCCATATCTGTGAGGTACGAAGTAATGCCAATCAGGGCCAGCAGAAGTGCCTTTTCAACTTTGCCTGTGTTGTATCGTCCTTCAAGGGAGGCTCGATGGAGAAAAGAGAACATGGGAATATGATGGACATGGTTGAAGAACTTGTTAAAAGTCCGGCCTATTAAAGCATCGAAAGATTCATCTGGAAAGGGGCTACAGCTGTTGTTAGCCAGTGGAAGTTTAACTACAACATTGACTTACACTTCAGGTGCGAACCCTTGAGGCGTAGCGGTACTAGCCGGGTCGGTCAACCCAGGGTCGCTATCATTGTGACCATCTTCTCGATCACCTTCTTGGCTTTGCGGGCTTCGGCCTTCGCCTCTCATTGTAATGCGCGCCCTTTTGCTTGGTCGGTAAACGCACTCAATGCCTTGGGAGCGACAGCGATCGCATGACGGCATGTGTCCGGAACATCGGGCTTTTCGACTATGACAGCTGATGCAAGCTTGTCGAACTCGGCGGCGCGGCAGAGCGCCAGACAAGGCACCGGCGTCGCCGTCATCGTAGGAGCAGGGAAAGCCAAGTCGCTCGCAGTTGGAGCAAATGTCGCGCGCACCATTGCATCGTACTTTTCGAGCGCGGCAGGTGACGCAGGTCAGTGACGATTTTTTAGGTTTGCGGTCGGGAGAATTGGCGTGAGAGGTGGGCTGAGATGGGTTCACGGATTGCTGAGGAATGCCCGAGGCAGAGGAAGTGTTTGGGACGGGGAGAGGAGAGTCGAGGGAGGAAATGAGGTTATTCGGGTGGTCGCCAGCGGCGGAGGCGAGATCCATGGCGGCGAGGTGGGAGGTTTTGGGCGCATGGAGGGACTCAAAGACTGGGGATCATGAATATGAGCTTTAGCAGCGAGTTCCGAGATTCGAGAGCAATCCACCGAGACCAACGTCAAGTCCGACGAGGGTCTTGAGGTGGGGAAATCGACTCTGACTGTAGCTTGCTTGTTTGTTTTTATTCAGGTAGAAGAAATTGAGTGACGATGGTGGTGATGGTAATGTTGGGTTCGGGTGGGAGTCAGAAGGCGGGCACTGCACAGACAGACAAACAGACAAACAACGTAGTCTAGGTACCTACGTAGTGTAGCGGACCCATTGGGTAAGATAAGGAAGGTGTGGCCCTGGCCTGGGGTTTCTGGGTCTAGGTCCGGGTTCTGCGTTGGTGGGAAAGCGGGACCGGAAGGGCCTACAGTTTCTGTCTGTTTACGGGTGGGTTGGGTGTATGTATCCTAAAAGATTGGTGTTGATACAGTGGAAGCTGCTGCTGTATCTGATGATGGGTAGAGTCAGATCTTGGCCCAGATCAGACATATAAAAGTTTAAATCAAGCACGCAATTAATCCTCAAACTGGCGTATAAATCGATCCCTTCCCTCTCGATTCGACGAACCTCTCTGGGCTCTGCCGATAAAACTCATGGAACGACATTGTGTGGACCGCCATTTGGCCCACAGCCTAAGCTTGCTTGGCAGAAAAAGCTGTACCCGAGTCTCACTCGAAAGCCATGGATGTCACAAAAAGGTCACCGCTAATAATATTCACAGTGAGAGTTGTGTCTGCCTGTTTCTCCCGGTTCGTGGAACGTCGTTGTTGGGCTATTTATCTATCGGCGTCTAAAGTAGAGAGCTCCCTCCAAGCTACTCTGTACGATCGAAGGATTACTGGTACACGAGTCAGTTAAGCTAACGAAACGAAACGGGGAACAAAAATCAATCAGGCACCTGATGCTACACAGCATTACAACGAGATGTCCGAACCAGCCCATCCAATTCTCGCTCTAATTCTTACAGAATTTTTCCGGACCTTTTTGTCCAGGCAATGAAATCCGCCGAAAAAGACGTTTCGAAAAAACGCATCATCGGTAACTCTATTGGCAATGTGACAAATGAGCAAAACCTGGGGATACCAATGAGAGAGAGAATGGACCGAGAAGCGACGCCTTCAGAAAGGGTCAGGCCCGCTCGATCCCGGCGCCTTGGGCTTGATAGTCTCCGCTACGAACCAGGTTAATCGACCGGGATTAAGCAAACCTCTGAACGTTGTTGACCGATGCTACCGGTCACGAAAAGGCAGTGAAGAACGGATAGGCGATACGAAAAGGCAAACATTATCGTCATGTTCAGCGAATTCTGCGCATGAATCTCGATCCTTCAATCCTTGGAAACCGCAAGATTCTCCTTCAGGACAACCCAAATCGGTCAGGGATACCGACGGTCCGAAGTGAGCTGATCAAGGTCGCGACCAACCGAAGCAAAGATGGACAAATCCTTTGTTAGCGCCTGTGTCTAGCGGATATGCAGCGTGACGCTTGTCCTATTACCACCATTCAGTCAACATCTGCGTCATTTATCCGACGGCCGCTCCGACTCCCGGAATATCATCGTTTTACCCCCCGGCTCCAGCTTGTATTTGGATGCGTCCATTGAATGATGCTGAGGCCAAGGTGGTGGTGTCTACATCTATATGCGAGTGGACGTGGTCCAGAGTCTGTGGGCATATGTCCGTTGAAGAATCTGGTGCAACCTGTCTTTGAGTCACTATTTCACATCTCAGCAATATGGCTGTCATGATCATGTTGGTATTGATCTCGGCTTAAATCTCTTCGAATGTCATGATCATCAGCCAATCTCCAACTATCTAATGGTGTACGAAGCCACACAAACAAACTCCTCATAGCTTTGCTGATGGCCTATGTACAAGATCCAATTAAGGCATTGAACAACTAGCGTGCAAGGGAGATCTAACCTATCAAAACCAGGCTTTGGTCTAGCCACGCTATTGATGGTCCAGCTCGTCGATGCCGACACCCCTGGCAGAACTTCACCAACGAATAAGAAATAATACCTAGACATTTTAGCCAGCTATTGTAAAACCTGGATTGCTATCTCTCGGTCTCTCTTGATGTTCTGTGGGTCACACGACTTGATATCATCGAGCACCAGCAATAGCTTCAGGGAGCTTCCCCCGCACTTGAATCTAGCTGTCACACTAACAGTAGTTCCGAAACTAATCTGCTTGGATGAGTTGTATTTGTTCATGACCATTCTGTTAACTGCACAAACGCGGGATGAATAAAGCATTTAAGTTCGGATCTTTGAGGCGGGCATCTAGGTTTTAGTTCATAATACGTCATTCTTCTATAGGTGGTCGGTAGGAGAAGATCATATCATCGTAACGCCCGAATTACCACTCAACGTTCTTTATCTTAGGAGGATGCATCTCTATTAGTATTTGCGTATGAAAATTAACATAGAATAATTATCTCTTAGTTGATATTGAATACATAATAAAAGAAATAAAAGAAAACTTTAATCTTCATGCTAAGTTGGTATCAAAGCATTAAGCACCAACCCCGAGCCCCTTTCTTCAGGGCCCATCCTCCAAGATGTTTTACAATGTGTCTATCAATCCAATGTTGATATTCTCCGGCCGAGACCCGTATCTGATCCCCGTCCGGCCCGGTCCGTTGGAGCGGAGGAGGACCCTGCGTCTCGGCAGTGGGGAGAAAGGATGCTACCTGGAGTTCTTGGCTTTCAGCTGGACTCCATTTTACTCTACTCATACATTTACGGCTCTCCTTTACGATTGTTACCCTTTTCACGAAGTGAGCACGTCTCGGGGCTGTTGAGCAAACCCTCACTGAGGCTGTCGTGGACCCATATGCCCGGGCGACCATGTTCAAAACCTCCTGCTCAACTTTCACAATAGCCTCTCAGCAAACATATGGACAGTGAATACTACTATTCTGAGATCAACGACTACGGTCGGGAAGCAATGGAGTAATGTTCAGACGCCAACTGGGCCAGAAATGACAGGCCACGCAGAACACATATGACTGATTTCCGTGTCATTATATTCTTTATCACATTAATCCCCACAGAAGACTCCTCCATCTTCAGACTTCAGTACATATACTGCTCGTCAAAATCCGTAAAAAGCCCATTCAGGTCCTGATTTCCTGCCATACTCGATGCCCACGCATTCAAGTCCAGCCCGCCACCATAAGGCAGACCAAACATCAAATTTTGATCTGTAACGGGGTCTCTAATGCCCCAATTCGTCTGCTGTTCAGGAGACTGCTGTTCACTTTCTGCTTCAAGTGGAGCCGCAGGAGCTGCATCATGACTGTCGTCGACAAAATCGGATTGTCGAAGAAGACTGTGTATTGCGAGTCGCTGGCGGATATATGCGTCTTTGGCGAGCTTCGAAGATTGGGCCGGATTTGAATCTGTCGTTGTTGCGATGGCGCGGTGATCCGAAGACTCAAGCCACGCCTTGTGTTGCTGTATAACCCGTTCAAGTTCTTGTCGCTATCATCATATCAGCGATTTGAACCTAAGAGGTCTGGGTAAGCTTACCATGGACTTCAGCTGTTCTGAGAATGCAAAATATCGTGTGACGACATCAAGACACAGTTGTGCCTTATTGATGGCCATTTGCATGGGTAGCCCAGTATTGTCCTTGCCTGTGTATGTTCCGAAGAGCACCAACCTGGCTGCATGGTAAGCACAGATAGCTGCTTCGAACTCAAGTATTTCATTCTCTTCCTTATGCTGCACAAAGTCTGACAAGACCTTGATGATTTGTTCCGCGTGTGACAGGCACTTGTCTTTCATCAGCCCCTTCTCGGCTACGGAAATCCCCTCAATCATGGTATCTGGTGTAGACTCAGGATATCCAGTGAGGAAAATTCGGTAAAGGTCGCAGTGGGTCAAGTGCCAGTTCATGTGCTAGTCAGATGAATTAGCTAAGTCAGGGAGTCATGCAATGATGCTTACCATTACAAAGTATTGTGGTGATAAATGAACGTCTTGTGTATATGAGGGTGGGTATTGATCACAAGGCGCAAGTCTGGTCCTTAAGCGAAGAAGATCATTTTGAAACTTTTCCATTGACGAAAGGAGTTCAGGGAGATTGACCTCTTTCACGTTTATTCGTCTGTTGAGTCTTACAATCGCTCTTCGAATGAAAGCCACTCGCACAAATGCAGCCCGAGTTCTCAGGACCTCTGGCTCGAGGCCTTTCCCAGGCTGCAAGTATCCAGTAGGGACGTGTCTTTCTTGCTGAAAGTCGGCGTCTTCGCAGGGGAGTTGTAGATAGATCGTGTCGGCATCGAAAAGTTCGAACTCTTTCAGACCAACACAAAAGCTATCTTCGAGCAAGGACAAAGACCAAAATGTTCGTCTGCGAACTTCTTGAGCGACGGGACTTAACTTGGAGTGTTCATAGTTGAGACGTATCGCTGCAGCCCATCTAGCTGCAAGTCCAGCCATTATGAATGCCCTGGGGAACTGTCCCACAGCCGCTCTATATCGTATTAGGAGGAGGGATGCCTGTATCTTGAAAATGGAAGGTTGTTCGAGCCGGTCGAGTATAAGCTGCTCAGCTTCTCCGGCCCATGCATCGCGCTCGCCTTGACATTGGTCGAAGTAGATGGCCGTGATAGAGCAAATAGCTAACTGAAGCGCTCGATCGATGGTCTTGTCGTGACATCTTTGGATGACTGTGGCTCGGTGGAGGAAGCAGAAGGCAGAAAGGGGATAGAGCCGCTCGAAGTACTGATTGACGAGCGATATTACGCCATCGTCAGGAATGAAAGGTGGGCCTTCTTCGATCGAGTCAAAGGGGATTGATTGGGAGCTTGAGGCGATACTTGGTCGTTGTTTTCTGGGTGAAATAGCAGCCTGAGATGTTGTTACGGACGCCGAATCGTCTCGAGACGACGAAGCTTCAGTCGTTGATGACCCAGCTTTTGAAACATATGTGCACGGTCTATTTCGCCTTGTACAATTGGTGCATTTCGGAACATCGCCAGAACATCGGACCTTCATCGCCCGACATTCCTGACAGGCTTTCGCACCACGACATTTTGGCGGTATACGAGGCGCAGACTGACCGCTGGAGCCGTCCTGTTCAAAGGAACACTGAAAGTTGAGTCGCTCACAGGTACGGCATCTAGGAACTGTGCCGTCACATCGGACCTCCAGGAGTTAGTACCGACCGAGTACCGGGAAGTAAGTTCGTACATACCTTACGGACTCGACATTGGACGCAAGCCGCTTTCATCTCAGGTTTTCGCAGTGCTGGTGAAAAATCTTTGAAGAACTTGGCGAGCCAACATCCCAATAAATTGAGAGTTATGTCCAACGGCGGATATCTCTTTTCCGAAATATTGGTGCTATCGACTGTAGTGACTTAGGGCAGAAGTGTCATATCCCGCTCCGCGAAATGATAGTGCAAGGAACAAACTCTGTTCCTTCGCTAGTACACTACGATGCACCTCGGAAAGGGCCAAGTTCCGACCATCTTCCTTGGTTGCTGCTGTAGAAATTGGAAGCACGCCATTCTGTGCAAAGAAGGTAACTTGATCTCGCCAACCACGGGTGTCCAATAAAGTTATCGGGTACTCCCCGTCACATCACTTTGGCCAGCGATGGCGTGCGGGGTCTCCGCAAAATGTGACACCCTGTATCCAATCATAAGATTCAATGACCGATACGCGCATTAACCATGTGTTCATGGTTGAGGTGATGTTTGCGAATCTCCGGGTTATTTCCTGCAACTCCCCGATGTTCCTTGTCAAGGCTCACGTTAAGTTGCAAGCATGATGGATGTGTAATAAAAGACCAGAGTCAGTTCTTGGTTAGTGCACCATGAAACGAACACTCGTGTTTCCCTACCTTCGAGCCGTTGAATATTCTCAGGGCACAGTGGTAAGCATCGTTCAATTGCCAACTTGGGCCATGTTTTTCATCATTTGTGAAGACCATGACCGCTTCAGCAGAATTCACGCACGAGGTCGCCAGTGTTTGCAAGTTCTGCCACACCAAACGGGCTCGTGATGATCTATCTTGAGGCCCCGGACGTATAGCCAACGGGGCTCTTTGAGCTTATGCCTAAACCAGGTTGTCAATGAAATATCCTCAGCTATCATATCCACTGATACGTGGGAATATGGCGTGCTGGAACTGTAAATGCCCGATTGATCCACGATAGCTTATCCAGCAATCACGAGCAGAAACCTATTTTGGCTCTTGCTTGATCACCGGCTCTCTTTTAATCTCAGTAGACCCGATGTTCTGGGCAACTGGAGTGGATTCATCTTCAGTGTCTTCTTGCTTGACCTCTCGGCCGTCCAGATCGGAACTCTATTCGAGTAGAACTAGAAGAACTGCAAGAGAATTTCTCCCCACAGCCCCAGCCTCGGATGAGCTCCCCTGGGCCACTGGCGCTTGTCGCACTGAGCTATTGCCGCGGCCTACCTGACGCCTGTTTGGCTGTCCCCTGTTACCTCTGCCATTGCCCCGGCCGCGAGGTTGAACGCGACTGCGATGGCGGCGACGCAAACGTAGACCATTATTTTGGCCTGGGACTTGAGTTGCTTGATTTACCTGACCCTGTGGGGGTGGAGGCATGTATGCAGGCACATGATGCGCATAAGGATAATATCCAAGTGGCACCGCGTTTTGGTACGCCACCGGAGGAGGGTAGAAATATGGTTGCAGTGTGCGGACAAGGTATGCCACCACTGGAGGAGGAGGAGGAGGAGGAGGAGGAGGGGGGAAAGGAACAGGCGCTTGCCCTGGGCCACCTCCATTTTGAGGATGACCCATGTTTCCCACGAAATACTGACCGCGTCCGCGTCGGGATCGGCCTCTGCGGCTGTTGCCACGAGTTTGATTGTTCATTGTCGCGCTTTCTGCTGCTGTTGTTTTTGGATGGGGAGCAGAAATGTTGACGATGATGAAGTTGAAGGGGAAGGAAAAGAGAGATGAAGGTGGGGGAAGAAAACAAAACAAAACAAAAGCAAGAGGTTGCGCACACCTGCCCGCAGGTCCTGCCACTGCCAGACACCTGAGGCGGTTCACAACTGCATAAGGTACTTGAAAGCAGGCCACCAAGCGAATGACTGGCACCAATTATCGGACATGAATATGATGATTCTGCGAGCGTCTGTTTGTTGCCATGATCCTCTCAGGAAAAATGACAGAATACAAGACGAAGGTTGTTTCAGGAGTGGAATCCTTGATGAAACCGAAGGCAATGAACGACAGGCGGACGGATCAGGACCAATCTTGACAGCTGTAAGGTGATGAGAGGACGGGCTAACATTGCAAGCTTGAAGGAGTCTGATGAAACACTGTCTAGATAAACTTGACGTAGAAAGGCACTGAAAGAAATTCCAACACAACTGGAGGAGAACCAAGACATATTCGATGCCACGATGAAATTGAGGTACACAAGGTAAACTACTTACCTAAGGTACACAGCTTCCTTGGCTATAACATCTCAAAGCTAAGCATCAGTTACAATTTAGTTATTTTATAAAATAGAACTTATATCTATTCTTTATATTAATTTTATTGTTACTACTCATATTTGTCTTAGCTTACAAGTATCTATCTAATAACCCTGCTTATGGTTTGCCTGCGGCCTCTGGTAGTTTCTGGTGCTTGTCTGTACCATAGTAGGCCTTTGTATTCTCCCAGGAAGAGGTGCGTGGGTCAACGCCTCCCAGTTTCTCAGTGTCACGACGATGCTGACCAAGGAGGAAGGGATCTTGGATGCCCCTAGAGATGTAAAACCTCTTGCTATGTTGTAGACTCCACGGGAGTCCAGGGACGAAAGTGTCGGGATTTGCCTGCATGTAGTCAAACAGCATAGGATACCAAAATTTCCCTGCAAGAGGTGGCATATTGGCCCTGCTGAAGACCATGATATTTATCATCTCGTGTGTGTCGTTCTTTGGGAACTCAGGGCAATTCCAGGTATTGTGTTGAGAGGAGTTGCAGATGGCACAGCCACGAATGAAGCCAGTTTCATGGACTTGATGACACATGGCTACCGTGTGACCTCTGTTCTTACAATTCCCGCAGATCGTGGAGTTGTTAGCTGCCTTTAGGTGAGTATTGGTGTTTCTCAGCTTGAAGTAGATATCGGGGTCAGCTCGCTCGAGTGCAAGGCTGTCCCGGCCTGAGACTATTCGCTGTCGCTTTGCCGTGCGGGAAGGCATTTTGGGAGCCATCTTTGGTGGTGCTGTCGAAATTCCTGAATTCCAAGAGATAGTGATGGGCTCGCCTCGCTGGAACATGCCCTCAATTGCCTGGATGGCAGCTTCGCGGTTGGCAAAGGTTGCATGGCCCTTGGCTTTAAGTAGCCCCCATAGTCAACCCCCTGATTGATCGCGTTCTTCTCGTGCATGCTGCCATGGTGGTCGCCAAACACAGCTGGGTCCGCAATATGTGTCATGTTCGCCTGTTCGCCATGTTCCGTGTTGTTCTTGCGCTTAGTGCCTCTAGGGGCCTGTTCAGGGTGAACTTCTTGACTGTGACTCTCCGAATGGCTTTGAATGACTGGCTGTCCCTGATGCTGAGGATATTTGGCGTTCAACGAGAGACGGATAGCATTGTTGACTGCCGCACTGAGTGGTTCAGCATACAGAGGCTGAGAGTGCAAAGTCACTGCAGTGAGCGGAAGTTGCTGAGAAGCAAGCTGATAGTAGTTGTGGGCAGCTCTGCCGTATCCTTGGGGATAAAAGGCGGGCTGCTGGTATTTCCATTGCTGTTGGCCGTAGCTCGGACCTAGTGTGGCATTTCTAAACCCTTGGGGCTGGCCACGACCAAGACCTCGTCCGATGTGAGGACGAACAACGTCTCGACCGCCCACATATGGGTATCCGCGAACGTAATCCTGATAGTTGTTGAAGGGCATCGTTCTTCTGTCGATGTGTTGTTGATGTTGCCAGTATTTGTTGATGTTGCCAGTATTTGTTGATGTTGCCAGTAGTTGTTGATGTTGTCAGTATTCGGTGACGTTAAGTGTGATGGAAGTGAGAAGTGAAGAGGAGAGGAGACAGAAACACAGAAGAGAATACATTATCCATGGAGATATTGGATGCATGGCATGGCCGCTCGTTTGAACGTCTTTTGCCAGTGTCAATACAGAGTCCTCCTGCCACCCCCAGATGTCAACTCACTCTCTGTCCAGTCAACGTCCTCTTACACCCTGTTCTACGCAGGTGGTTTCCCCTTCATGTCCCGACTCACATTCCCAGTGGCATCTACTAGTACAACTGTCTCTAAAAGCATTTGCCGCACTGTATCTGCTGAATTCGCAAACATGAGCCTGATCATCACATAACATGTGACACTTATGGAAAACACACCAGATGCATCACAACGTCCAGTCAAATTCACACGGGCAGAGAATTATACGTCTATTACCACTGACTATCTAGATCTAGGTGGTAATGGGGGCATTCTCGCCGCTCTCAGCTGCGTAGTCTCAGCCTGCACGTGACTGTGCGCGAAAGCATCTTCTCCCTCATTACTGCCAGAAGCACCTGTGCTGATAGAGCTGACAGTGTGGCCATCGACGGCTTGGACTCCTCTACCCTCAGCTCGTGACCATTGACTTCTTCCCCTCCAGCGTGATGTTCATTCATGCGCGTGTCGAGACTTTGACTTAGAGTATTGTCTTAATCACCCATATGACATCTTGATCTCCACCGTTGTCTTGTCCAAGATCCCTTGCCACGGAAGGCAGTGGGCCTTGTTCTGTGTTTGCACGCCGCCGAGTGGTGCTAGTATCCTAGATCATGAGAGGCGGCTCGCTGGGTCGGCGTGGATCGGAGTCACGTTTGTGGTCGATCATGCGTCTTCTCTCAATGTTGAGGAATGCGTTCCTATAAATTTCTGCGACTTCTACACTTGATGGGTACGTATGGGCAGTGCCCCTACTTTTCTGGTAGAGTGCGTAGTGAGCTTCACAAGACATCCACGTCTTTGACTCGTCAAGCCCCATAATCACAGCGTCGAGATCATCCGTAGTGACATGATAGTAACGCGAGGTTGGACTCGCCAGGCGAGCTTTGGTGTTATCTGCTATGCAGCGCAACAAGTCGGCCTCCGTTGTGATGGTCTCGCCGGTATTGTAACGTCGCTTCAAGAGCCTTTCCAAGGTCCTTTTCAAAGGTTCCTCTTGCCTTGGACTGATGGGGCATCCTATCAATCGGAGTAACCTGGCATCATCCTCGGAGAGAGGCTGGCGATCGTCAGTTCGACATTTGATTGCCCATTTTACCGCGAATAGCATGAACTCATGTCCGTTTTTGCGTCGTCTCCATATAGGGTGTGATATGATTTGAGTCAATCTGTGGCAGAACGAAGGTGACCAAATCGGGTTGGGATACGGTACATTTCCGACATTTAATACGAACCCGAACTTGTTCCCAGTGACCTTGAACTCGTCATCGTTCAGTGTCCAGAGGGTCACAGGGTCTACTCCGAATATATGGAGGGAGATCTTGAACATGGTGACAAGATGTTGGGTATCTGAGGAGGTCCAGAACCGTCTCGTGATTGCTCTCTCATACACTGTTCCTCTCCAGTACTGACTGAGAAATAACTTTCATCGGCATGGCTCCAATCTTCGTTGTATGTCGGATTGGGGCATCCGTGCTCGCCTTGGGCTTCATACGTCTCCTTTGTCAGACATTGGCTATTTGAAGTTCTTCCTGCACCAACTTCCGGTGCCCGCTGTGATTCACATCTTACACTCGGGCCAATTAATTTACACTTACGCCATATTACACTGCAGTTATACTTGAAGATTGCAAGGTTTCATTAATTACTACTTATCATAATCGTCCAACAAGAACTATCACCCCTTTTATAAGACATTATCTCCTAAACCCAGTAGTGCCATGCTCAATACACATTCTCTCCCCCATAGGCGTATGAATAGGTCCATACGTCCAACTTCCTCCAAGTCCCTGAACAGCCTCTTTGCGTTTCCTTGCACTCATAGCTGCGACACCCTCAAGACCTCTCACCCACGGTGCGTCAGCGACATACCAAAGTGCACCAGCCAGACTCCGTGGATCGACGGGCAAGTCAGGCCACTTGACCAACAAACTCGACAGCATGGCAATGACCATGATGAGAAGAATACCAATGCTCAGACGGGAGCATATCTCGTGGGCTTCACTCGTCTGTGTGAGACTGTATGGTACGTTGGCGAGCAGAATCGGGAGAAACTGAGCGAGGAGGGTGGTGAAGGCTGTGAAGAATAGGAGAGGGTCGCGGATTCTGAGGGCGACGAAGAAGCCGGAAACTGGGTTTGTTGCTGGTGTCATGAGGACTGACCGTGTAGGAACTTGAGGGTCTTCAGCCATTCGACGATAGGGTGTAATGACAGCGACACCTGAACAGTTAGTATGTGTATCAAAAAGGGGGTCAAGGGTACTCACTTGTGAAAAGAAACTCCCAACAAAAGACAACAATAACACCCAGTGCGGAACAAACAAACCGCACACCAAAGTCTTGACTCTCCATGAGTTTCTTCATGTTCTTGGGTAAATGGCTAAACGTATCAACAAAGTGATAATAGCTGATGAACCCAAGAAGACAAATCAGAAACACTAGGAATGTGAAGCGATACCAGAAACTCAAAGCCATGAATGTCTGCGGTGCTCGACGACGAGTTTGGGGTCGATACGCCATGCCCTCTTCATAAGGCGTGTTACCATAGGGGGCGATGATATCACGATTGGCATCATCAACGACAACAAGACCGTACTCATCTCTCCCCTCTTGGTTCCGGAACCACCCCATAGCGAACCTCTTTTCAGTAACAGCGCCCTTCAATTCTTTCCAATCTTGAGCTCCCATCGATCGAATCTCGGGGTTACGAGCAACAAGCGCCGCCGTGTTAGCAGCACACCAGGGATTCGCAAACACACCAGTTCGCCAATGTCGACTGATAACACTGAGTGTGAACATGAGCAGAATGGCGATTGCGCCGAGAAGACCGACGAGAGCGTAGGCAGCTGTGTTGGAAACACCAAGTTCGAGAGCACACCCGTCGATAGCGCCCTTTTTGCAGCTTCCATAGATCTTGAGGCCGACGGCTTCACTGGACAACGGCGCCGCGATACTCGATGCCCAAAGAGCAAGTGCTGTGAGAAATGGAAGAGGTTGATTGTTGAATAACAGCTTGAACGGGAGATAGATACTCATCCATCCATCAAAACTCAACAACAAAGCCTCACGACCTAGAGCACCACCCTGTCTTGTCAACGCAGCAAAAGGCTGGTATTGCTGCGCCGACTGATTCAACGCTCGAATCCCCATTGCAAGCAGGACAGCAACAATAGGCGGTAGGAACTTTCCAATGAAGTATCCAGAATGCGTAAGCGTATGCGTCGTAGCCTCAACAACAATCTTGGTATCCCCAGTCGGCGTCTCAACATCCGTGACAACAACCTTTGTCGGCGGCACAGTCGTAACACGCGTAGTACCAATCGGTGTAGAAACAGACGTTATAACCTGTCCATCCGCCAGAGTCTGAACCATAGTAACAGGCGGAGGCGCATCAACTACTGTCTTGACCGTAGCAGCGACTTCACTTGTTCTAACCCTCGTAACAGGTGGTTTCGCAACTTTTCCTTCTGAATCTATTGTGAGAACGGAGTAGATCGTCGTTGTTCCAACAGAAGCGTAAACAATAGGTGGACCAGTTCGTGTCGTTTCTCGAACGGTTGTTCGAACGGCGCCGTTTTCTTTCACGGTGATGAGGGTTTTTGTTTGGCCGGGTTGGACGACTGTTGTAGGCTGCCACTCTTCAGAGGGGACTGACTCCTCGGGGATGTAGGACGTGAAAGTAGATGCTGCTTCGGTGATGGTTTCGGTGAGGGTGGTTTCGCCGGTTTCTGTGATTGTCTCTGTTGTTTCAGAGACTTCGATTGAGCCTGGTTCTGTGACCATTGTTGTAAAGACTGATTCAACTAGGGCTGTTGTCAAAGTTCCTCCTTCGACATCACCAGTTGCAGTAGGTATGCCATCTGTAGGGACAGGCTCTGGCTCAGGTTCTGAGGCTTGAGATTCTTCAGTTCCAGTGTCGGCTGTTGGCTCGGGTTGCGATGGTTCGCTCGCGGCATCTTGTCTCTTCATATAGAAGAGATCATCATTTGTGATTCTGAACGAACGACTTTCTAGAGTCGCTGTTTTATCATCGCCATTCAACGTGCGTGTAGCATAGATGATCAATCCCATAAGACCCAACAATACGAGGATCAACGCGCTGATGAAAGGCCATCGTAGAGGAATTGGTCGGTAATCAGGTCTCTCTCGCTCCCGCTTCTCAGATTGTCCCACATCTGTCTCGACAGGATAAACCTCTTGTGCAGTCACAGGTTTGTACTCATACGTAGTCTGCTGTTGCTGTAGCTGTTGCTGCTGATATGGCTGATAATGTTGATACGGCTCATTCTGCATATACGGCGGTTGATACATCTTGACGACCGCAAAGTTTGTGTATCCAAATTGAGTCGCGTGAAAGGAAAGGAGGCTTTATTAAACTACCACAACCGCCGACGCCCAAGCCCCCCGGCTCTTCAACTCTCCGAATGCCACGGGGCATTCATCCTGTCATTGCAGCTCCATCATTGGCCTCGCCCTCAACGGTATAACAACCTAAACGTAAAATCCAGGCGTGGCGTCTCCCTGGAAGACAAGGACAGCTGAGCTATTGAGAAATGCAAGGTTGCTATTGGATCAACAGGCGAATGGTGTTGTAGGGCTGAGAGTTAGAGGTCTCAAAGAGGGAATGCCAAGACTGAGCTGGAGTCTAGACCATTTAAGCTTATCGAAATTTGGGTAAAGCCATCATGTGTCATTTCCACTGAGCAGAATATTCGGCAGTTAGCCTTGCACTATTTCGCATGTGAGTTTGGTAAGAATGTTTAATTATTCGTATCTATGACAAGGCAGATTCCAACGCCTCGTATCCAAAAACAGTGTATCCAAACGCCATCCCAATTATACCAAAATTACCAGCCGAGAACGTTGAACAGACTTGTTCGGGGATCGGGAACAGAGCCGTTAAAGGTCTTTGCACGAACAGATTCGCTCTTTGTGGTGTTGTATTGGCTGAAGTAGCGATCGAATGTTCGGGATTGGTTTGTGAGTTGTGAGCGAACGTAGCCGCCGACAACAGAGATGCTTCCAACAGCGATGAGAACAGGAAGGACCCTGATGTTATTCGTTAGTGGAGAAGTGGTAGAAGGGCAAATTGATGCTTACTTGGGGCCGACAGTGGGCTTGATCATGAGAGCAGCCATTTTTGTGGATTGGTTTGATTGGTTGGTGGGTTGTGTAAGTGAGCTAAAGCTGAAGCTGAAGATGCAAGTGTTGTTGGTGAGAAGATCTCAGTGTTTGTTGTTGTGATTGATGGTGATGAGCAAAACTATTGAGGGCAAAGAACTCCGCCATTATATATTCTCGTCTTGAGGTTCACTTCGTTCGTTTCCGTAACTATTTTCTTCGGTCGCATGTTGATGTTCTGAGCTGACGGGTGGTGCTGTTTTTGGTGGTGCCATAGAATGATCCAGCCCTGGGCACAGCCATTTCGGGCGATGCCGGGGTCCGCAACACCAGAATTGGATCTCTTACCTTGTGAGATCTTCATCATGATTGAGAAGTTGATCGATTATCTCTGTCTAAGGCTAAATATTTGTTATCTTACATAGTTTATTTCATACATCCCAAGTTCTATGGCACTTTCAGAGTCCTGAACATTTCTGGGTGTGATGTTTATGTACAATATCTATTTTCGAGCAACCCGATACCTACATAATTATCAATTGAACAGCCATCAACATGCATGCTTCCCTCTGCGACAATCATATCTCAACAACTGCTCAGCTGAGCCCATCTACCAAATGCACCTGTAAATGCGATTGTGGTGATGGCATTCTCAAAATCTAGTGTTGAGAAATCATCTGATTTTCGGACCCGGCGTCTACCGAACCCACCCAAAATTCTCCGGGAAATCAGTCCATCATTCGGTTCTCGACACACTCAGCCCTGAAGCACATTCTCGACTGCTAAAATCGTCTAACTGATCAACTCTAACTCTGGTACCGGAATCATCAGGAATAATTCCTGTGCTTTCCCTCTAAGCGTGTAATTTTCGCCATGCAACGACGGATTGAGTGATGATCTCATCAATTTTCAGTTTACCTCAAAATCCTTGTCTCTGCATCAGAACCCTCTTGTCTTCTTATCTGTGTATCAGCCTCCGCACATATCGGCTAGGTATGCCCGGAGTCATGAAATCCCCACCGGTAGGGGTTCCACAATTCCCGGTGTCCACGCCGGTAACACGGCCGGCGATGTAATGCATCATAGGCACCAAAAGGAATGCCGAGTGAGCTCTAGTCAAAAGAAATCGAGAATGAGTTTTACTTGAGCCCTTTCTCATAGAAGAATTATATCCAATCCCTCATCAAAGGTTCGCCTCATGAGCCAATACAGATCATATGATGGACATCACAGCTACCATCAACAGTCCATCGATACCTCCAGCCAACGATCGGAGAATTCCAATCCAATCCCCAAGCCCTTCATCCACACGTCACATGCTTCTATTCCCGCCTCAATCCCGAAACGTCCATCACCCATCAATGACATCCAATAGTCGTCAATGGCTATACATCTCCAGATATGCTAACGCGGGGAAGCTCCTGATACTGTAGCTCACCACGTCATCCCTCCATCATCCAAAGCTCTTAGATCATTGACTGAACCCTATTAAACAGCAAAGGTCCCTCAATCGCTGAGATCCAATACTGCTTCATACAAACAATCACCGTATCAGAAGAATAAGTCAAAATGTCCATGAGATTGATCCTTCGTCCTGTGGTGCGAATCCCACTCCTCCGCCCCCAGATCCGTCTTGCTACAAACCCTACGCATGTCCATCCAGACGGTAACCTCGGCGGTCCGGGAGGTCAGCAGCCCCCACCTGCACGCCCCGGCGGTCCGGAAGCCATCACAAGAAACTGGTACAGCCACCCTCACCCTCCTCGTTATCACTGCTGACACTCCCAGGATGCCTATCGCTGCTGCTGCAGGTGTGATCGCAGGCGGCGTGTACATCATGCTCCCCACTCGAGGAAAACCCCCCGAGAGAACTCTCGAAAGCGACATGGTAGCCGCCAACTCGACGGCGATTGGATACATCGGTCAGCCATCTGGAAAACCAGGTATTGCTTCTCATTACAGGGAGCTTCGAGATGGGAAGGAAGTCGAGTCGATGAAGGAGTTGAGTGGGAGAAAAGGCGGTGGTTCAATGGGTCCTTTCAGAGCGGAATAAATAACAAAAAACGTATTTCATAACGGAGGCGACTTGCCCAGAGTATCAAATTGTCTATCATGCTCGATGGAGCTGTACATTAATAATAACACGTCGCTTACTTCTGCTCTAACGGTTCGTCCTTCTTCTTTTGTAGCAGATAATCTCCCCCAAACACCGCTTTGTATACTCCTCTCAATCCTCTTATAGGCCATCCTGTTCGTGCAGTTGACTTCATCAGTTTCTCGTCTCCTTCGATATCGACTCTGACTTTGTCGTAGACATTCGGTAGATATGATGCTCCGTACTTTGCCCTTAGCGCATCGTACGCTTCTTTGTTGTAATGTGACCAGAATTCATCTTCTGTGTAGTATGCTTGGGCGTATAGCCATTTCTTTCCTCCGCAGTCTTGTACTTTCTGCTCCAGTGCTCGATTATGTCGAATTGCGTCTCGTCGGTTTCCTTGTAGAGGCCCCCATATTCCAAAATTCATGAGTTCCACGGTCCCTGGTTTTGCGAATTCTGCGTGGAGACCATATCCTGAGTCTGGGTCTTCTCGTCGTACTCGTAATGGACATATCCAGAGGGGGTATATTCTGAATTGCTTGTCCAGCCAGTTTTGAAACTCTGGTACGCTGTTGTAAGGCACTCCGACATCTTGAACCATGTAATAGTCAAATAGGTTACTCTTGTGGCCGGCAGAGTACATGACGCGAGCTCGTAGGAGAGGATCCAGGATATATCGTGTCAGTCGGTTAAATGGTGTGAGAAAGTAGTCAAAGGCGTATTTGGCGACCCAGAAACCACCTCTGTCGTAACGGAATAGATAATCCTTCAATGGGATGTAGTCGGCGACGCAGGTGACAGATCCCATCCTTAGCCCATCTCGGACCTTTTCAACATGCAGATAAAACCACTTGTCCCTCCGTCGGTTCAGTTGTCTTGGAGTAGCGCTGATTGGTATCTCATCCACCATTCGTCCCGCACATACAACAGTCGTATCCTTGGAGTAAGCAATCCCATCAACATAATCATTCTCCCGTCTCTTACACTCCTCCTTGATAATCTTGACAGACTCAGATGGCCCCCTTGCGAGTCGGTACTTGAGCTCAACATACTCCTTCGCCTCCTTCAACTGGACCTCCAGCAACGTAACGACACCGAGTGTTCCGAACGCCGAAGCAGCACCCCAGAAAAGATCCGGCTGCTCCGTTTTTGAAGCACGCGTCACGCTTCCATCCGCAAGTACAATCTCAATCCAATTGACAGTCGCGTCGAAGGCCCCGTACCGGAAAGAACTGCTCTCTCCCGACGTCCCCGAAAAGCCACCTCCAACGGTAATAGCCGGGAATTCCATAACGACCAGCGGAACAAGCCCCAGCGGTAGCGTCGCATCAACAAGGACTTCCATTGAGACATTTGGTTCAACAATCACTGTCTTGGAATCTTTGTTCACTTCAATGACATGGTTGAGCTTGCTTGTGTCGACAGTGTTGTCCACACGCCGGTTTGAGTGTCGTGTGCTGTTAGTTGAGCCATGGTATAGGCGGAACGGTTCCTGGCGGGCGTGAAAGTGCTTAACTCTGTCTGCGACGCCTGCGACAATGGTTTTATGAGCGTCCATCATGAGATGGAATCGCAGAAATAAATAAAAAAGAGATGCAGGAAGCAAGAACAAAGACTTGGCGAGTCGTTCAGAGTAGTATCGGGTCGGAAATAGCGAGGAATGATCCACAATTCCTTTTCCTTGTGTCGTGCGTGCTTGTGCTTGTGCTTGTGCTCGTGCTTACGACCAAGAGTTTTTATGTGAGTCGATCACTCATGACGCTTGATTCCGACATATCCGAGCATGATGATTGCTTAGGCTGCTTCGAATCAGCAAGACTCGTCTTATTTACTTTTTGCTTGTTACGGTCTGAGGCGCCACGTCAAACACGTCAGCCCTGCTTTGACCATATCGCCAAGTTTTTTATTCTATTCTGGTCGATCTCAATATGACGTTTGTTGTTTCATTGGTTCAGCTTGTGATGCATGAATAGGCGGGTTTGCTAGTGGACAAGCAATCCTGGAAATGGCCCCCACAAGACATTGACAACCAAGCCAAACCAAACGCTCTGTTGATAAATTATCCTAATGACTCTACTCCGTACAATTCTAGCTTTGGTGTGTAAAGCTCTACTATGTATTCGCTCTCATCCCCCCTTTTTCCTAATCCGAGTCTACACCACCAAACGCTGTGATAAACTATCCGAATGACTCCAATCCTAGCTTTGGCGTGCAACGCTCTGTGGTGTATTCTCCTTACCCTCCGGTGCACACGAGGAACTCTTCAACGGAGGGAGTTCGTGATCGTTATCATGCTCATACTCCTCTTCCAGAGAGTCACTATCGACTTCAACCTCAACGAAATAATCGACCTTTCCAATGTAGTACTCAAGATCTTCGCGAAGAACAGCTCTTTGCGTACGAGGAATACCTCTTCTCCTGTACTCCTCCACGGTGATGGAGGGCTCGGGCGTTTCTTCCAACAACCTTTGCAGGACCTGGGCATGTTGAGTTACTCTCCCTTCCAATTTGTCTGTATATCTTTTTGCCGGTGTTAGGATCCCGGGATCATCCCCTTCCATACCACGTAGAAGACCGCACATCGCCCAGAGTTTTTCATATCCTGTAATAAGACGTGCTTCGGTCGTCCATCGGTCAAGATGGCCTTGTATTATACATTTCCGGCATATTGAAGGGACCCTGCTATTGGGTTTTATAACTAGAAGAAAATCATTCGGGATTTCCATTCCGTCACCACTCAGCACACCAGGAAGTTTGACCGCAAGTTCAAAACTGTGTGCACAGTCGAACACAACGCGATGAGTGCACGGCTCGGCGGTATCCTGGTCAACATCCCCCTTCTGTCTGCCTTGCTATGGACAGATGGGTGACGTCCCAGAGGATTTGAATTTGCCGAGTAGTGTATTGTAACAAGAATCTCCGATAATGTGTCCACAGGGAAACAATAAACCAGAATGTCCTTTTATTGGAGACATGGTTTTGGTATCCTGGCAAGGTTCTCGACAGGCAGCACAGCGAAAGCGAATACAATTGAATTGCAAAGAGAACAAACTTTGCTTCCCCTCGTCATCGTCGTCCGCCTTTTCACCCTTGGCGTGGAATTTATATATGATCTTCCGCAGCCAATCGTATGCACTTGGGTAGTGGAATTGACTGGGGAGGCCTAGGCCTTCCTTCGAGAGCACATTGAAGAACAGATCGGGGATTTCTGCAGACAAGTGTTGCCGTATGACTGATAGTTTCGCGACCTCATCCTCGGCAGACACGCCATCACTATGTTGGGCTTCGGTCATCCCATCGTCTTTCGATGTCTCTTCTGTGTTTTCTCCTTCTGATGCTTTTGTCTCTGGCGTAATCTTTTCGGTTGATTTGTTATCGCTAGCTTTTTCGCCGGCCCTTTTGTCGTCCGCCATCTTGTCGTCTGTCGATTCGTCGTTGATCACCTTGTGATGGGTTATATGTCTATCAGCAGCCACGTTGTCGGCCACGGTGATGATATACTCGATAGAATTTGGGCTTTTGTTTGTATGAATGATACTGGTGTGATAGCTGATGGTGATGTTGATGCTAAGTTGATGTTGAACGAGGTCAGTCAGACTCTTATGAATTGCAAGCACCTTCCAGGTGTAAATTACATCCGCAACAAAGGCAAGTTGTGTCAAATGCGCCCTTCTTCTGTCTTTAAGGTACACTGTAATATGATTAGGTAGGTAGTGTCTATTCTGCGTCTCAAGCTTCAGTTAAGCAGGAACTCGAATCCATACCCAGCAACTTCTACCTGAACGCCTTCTCATTCTGCCTCTGAGGCACGTCATGACGATTCATCTCGCTTTCACGCCTTCGCTTTGGTAGCTCTCCCGGTGCCAAATTCAGCTGATCCAATGAATGGCCTACCCAAGTATATCGCAGCCAACTCAATGGTCTACGGTCCTCAAACAAGACTTTTTGACCTTCGTCTACATAGAAGAATGCAAGAATCATCTGAATCATGAACACAGTTACATTCCCCGAACATGATGTGAGCTTTCCGAATCGAGTATCTTCAAATCGAATACCCAAGCGCTCCAGAACATGCTCAAATACTGCGGGTTGTTTAATGCGTGTCTCAAACTGTTTCTCCTGCTTCATGTCGCATATCTGAACATTGGGTTCTGCTAACCATTCCAAACCAAGCTGCTGCAGCGTAGTTTTGACGGAGTCTGCGTCAAAGGTGGGCAAAATGAGCTGTCGAAGACGCCCTTGCTCGATCTCATCTTTCCGTCGGTTTTTCTTTTTCAGCGCCGCAAAGACTCGATATAATCTGTACGCAAGATATTTCTCCTGGACCCTTCTTGATCGACCAAAAGCGAACAAGTATGGCGATTGATCTAGTGTGTCTTGGTACTCGAACTCTTCCACTATATAGTGGAGAGGAGCCATGTACTTGAACCATGACGACCCACGATCTCCAGGTATGACGCCCTTACCACGGTCATACAAGATGTCTCGCATATCAAGATATGCGATCCCGGCATCGATGACGGGATCGTGTCGACACGACGGTCCGTCCAGCGATGCACTAGGCTCTGCCCCGCAAATATGATGAAAATCCAGAGAGATGAAGATGTAGTCGGTGTCGGGCATTCTGACGAATTGGTTCGTCTTGATGTCCAATGTAGGGAAGGCATGCTCAAGGCCTTTGGGAGGAAGGGCACATGGTTCGCAAGTGATGCATTCCGTCTCTTCGTCAGAAATAGATGTGTTGGACGAGACGCTCTCTTGCAGACTCGAAGTCGACATCGTCAGAGCTGTGCTGAAGAGAAGATGAGTGTCAGGGAAAGCTCATGCATATAATACGAGAGAATAGCTATTTTCGAGCTCATTGACTTGACTACAAAATAGACACGGCCTCGCAATCAACCTACACCTTATATACGTTGAATGTCCTGTACTTCGGACCATTTCGTAAGTGAACGGCGACAAATTACGTATGTGAGCCAGAGTCTCACACAGTTTGTCAGTGAACCGTGCCATTGTTTGGCCGTGGCTACCTGACGCACAATTCAGAGCGAAATCAATGATGGCAGAGCATCAGCCATTCTCAAAATGAGATGTTCTATCGCTGTAGAAGTCTCATATACCGAGCAGACACAGGTTGAACTTCGACATAGGCCGCATTCTGTTGAGTGAAGAAGAGGTTGCTTTGCAAATTACAGGTGACAGCAGTACAGTAATTCCTTCACATTTGATTAATATCTAACAATCCAATCAGGTCTAAGCTTATTGTTCTTTGTTACCAGTGTACCCAAAACATTCACGCAGAGACAGGACCCCTACTTGTGTGATTCACAGTCTCGGGATAGCTGTCAAGTATGTCCCTCCCAACTTGAGCATATCAACAGCCTCCTTGACCATCTCATCAACGATTTCCCCAGCAGGCTGAATCTTGGTGATGGCTCCAGCAACCTGGCCCATCAAATGTGGCAGATCGAAATCGTTGCCCTGCTCAAAGTCGTACTCAATTGGTACAACACCCTTGTCACACAACTCCTTGATCTTATCTGGCTGCTCATGCCACTTCCTGATATAATCGTTTGTCTTCATTCTCAAAGGTCGCCCAGAGATAACAAGAGTTCGCTGCGTATCTTCGAATCCACATGAAACAACTTCTTTCTTATGCTCCTCACTGCAACTAGCTTCAACAGAGGCTACAAATCGTGTACCTACCCATACGGCCACAGCGCCCTGCATCAATGAGCTTGCGAGACTTCTTCCTGAGGAAATACCTCCGGCTGCAACTACCAATGCGGGAAGACCCTTGAGAAGAGGAGGGTAGTACTTCGAAGCAACGTCTGCAACGGCGGGGATGAGGATGGAGTTTGCAACATCTCCTGTGTGACCTCCTCCTTCGCCACCTTGAGCGCAGACCATGTCAACTCCGAGCTCGAGCGCTTTGGTCTTGGATGCGTCAGTGAATAGCAACTACTTTTTGGCTGTGACTTACTGCATGCTTAGGATGGCCAACCATGTTCATGACCAGGATTCCCTTATCATGAAACCTCTTAATCACTTGAGGTGGTGGTACACCAACAGCACTGACAAACAACTTGGCACCGCTGTCAATGATGATGTCCACCAACTCGTCCAACTTTCCACCAGTGTAATCATGGTTGGTCTTACGCGCATTGCCTCCAATCTGAGGCAAAGCGAGATCAACACCAAACGGTAGGTCAGGTCGTGAAAAGTTGGCCTTCATCTCCGCAATGATCTCTCGAAGTTGATCGGGTGTGTATTGGAAACCACCAATGATACCGAGACCGCCTGCGTTGGATACAGCTGCTGCAAGACGGCCACCAGACACCCTGGCCATACCGGCGAGGATGATGGGGTGCTTGATTCCCAGCAGGGATGTAAGTGGTGTTGTAATGGGGCCTGGAGGTGCCATTTTGAGATGTTATGAATAACAATCATAGACAAATATTTGGAAATGATCAAGTATAAGAATACAATACAGCTGGATATTGACCCTCGGCTCTTAGATAGGTATCTGTGGGGTCGGCTCTTTTGAACATCATCAACCGATCTACCGATTTGCGGGGGAAGCTTCATCCACAGTCCGAGGCATTACCGCATTAGGCTACCAATTCGCGTATCTCATGTGCCTCTGAATGCGCTTTGAACCCTTTCTGCATAAATTGCCGACGTCGGTGACGCATTTTATTTGTGCACAGTTATTGTATTGTATTCGCTGAATCTATCAGGTTCCCATCTCATTCCCGTTTCATCGTTGGCTCAAATCCCATACTTGGCTCGATGTTGGTATCATACATGAAAACATCCGTGACTCGCTATCATCTCTCATTAGGTAGTATTACAGAGAAGTCAAGTCCTCGTCATTGGAAATGCGGTAAGCGCGCTGGAACAAAATCTGTCTTCTCTGGTGATTTTGTGCCATCGGGTTGCGAACTGTTTGGCGCTGCATCTTGTGTCGCGGGCTTGTCTTCGACTTCTTCGACGTGGTGGTAGGCGGCTTTTGAAGGTGAAGCTTGATAAACATCATCCTCTGCTACCTCTGGTTTGGATTCGGAAATAGATTTGGGGTCGGGTCTTGGTGTGAGACCTTTTTCTGCCGCGAGTTGCGCTGCTGCTTGTTTCTTCCTCTCGACATCCCCATCTTGTTCTTTTCGTAGCATGAGCTCTTCTTGTTCCAGGTCATGTAAAGTCGGTCCCTCAACATCTGGCGTTAAGGAAAACGACGTGGATCGCTGCTCCATCCGGTAGTCGTCCTTGGAAGAAACTGATCCTAATGTCGTCCGCGATACTGTTCTCGACCCTGCCAAACCACTAGCTGGTCTTTTGCCCTTGCTGCTGGTCCTCCCACTTCGTCCACTTCGATCATCCTTTCTAACCATGTCGTATGTTACCTCGTCATCGAGTGGGATTGCATCTTCTTCACCTTCGCCATCGCTTGGGAATAGATCACCTCGTGATCGATATGAATCTGATGTATCGCCCGACCCTGTCGTCCCACTGCGCTTTCTAGTCACTGGTAGGTCAAAGTCGTCTTCGTCAGAATGCAGTAGTGGTTCATTTTCTCCTTCGCCATGTCGTCGTGGGTGGTCTTGCAGATCTGCCGCACTAGGTTTGTATCGCAGAGTACCGCCCATCTTCCATGGTAGTTTGCTGAGGAAACCGATCGGTTGTGTACTGGGAATCACAGTCGGGTCATCGTCCATGCTTGGCTTTCGTCTTCGGTCTCGGGTTCCATAGCTCATGCCGCGTTTCCTGCGCGGTTGTTCAGTTTCTCCCCCAGTGTGTCTTCGCTGAGTGCCAGTCCCAGCCAACAATCTATCCCAGTCTTCATTACCCCATGTGCCAAACAGACCGCTCTGCTCTTCCTCATACCAGTCATCGTAAAAGTCGAAACTGTACTCTGCCCTACTATGCGACAGTTCTCGCTCTCTGCGCTTTCGTAGACGTTCCTCAGGGTCACCTAGACATACAGTCGTACACTGTTCAATAGATTGCGCGATGGACGAAAAGCATGGGTTGATGTAATTATGTTGAAAGGTCCAGATTCCTGCCGCCGCATTCTCGGTTATGGTCTCGGTATCGTGGGCAATTTGGTTCCAGCGTTGGCGCAGTCGGGGGTCCTCGAGGAATGCCATTGTGAAGATAGTGGATATGACGTCGCAACATGGAAGCGCCGAGGTCGCAATGTGTTTCAGAAGATGTAAGAGGATTCAGAGGAGCTGATGATTAATTTTGGTGCGAGTCAATTAGTAGACATGGTCGCAGAGGTGAGGATCGGCCATCAAAGTATAATCTCGTGAGTGACAGGCTATGATTGAAGATCAGAGTTGATTGTAACTGTAAGACAGCGGTTGTTGTGGCACGTGCAGCGAGGTGAGACGATTAACAGTTGGGCTTGTTGGGTGGTTGGTTGAGTGGAGGTACTTTGAAACGTGGTTGTCTGGTGGCTGGCCATCAAGTACTGGATCCACTGGGCTTGGCTTTCGATCCAATATCTATGATACTTCAATGTTGTAATCCGACGGATCTTGACATGATGAACCTTATTATTTTTGGTGAGAATGCCAGGCGGGATCTTGTCAAGTTGTCCAAGCTTACACTCTATTTCCTTGACGTTACATTTGTCTCAGACGAGGTAAGAAAATATTCGTATTGAGCCGTCTGCAGGTGGTATCAGGCAACGCAGGAAACAGTGATGTAGTACTAAACAGTCCAATAATCTCAAGTTGTGGTATCCTACTTCCTTGGGATACGCATATTCGCTATCACTCTTTCGATAAGCTCTTCCTTGGTGGCCTTTGGGTCGGGATGTAGATTTCTCTGTTTCTGTTAGTCTGTGTCAACGGCTGTGAGTGATTCGCTTGCCTTATTCAACCACAATTTGCATTCTTCCTTTGTCCATGTTTTGGGATCACCTGTAGGGTCAGGCTGAGATGGGAAGACTCCTTGGCCATCGTTTCCCCAGATTGTATATGCCGCTGCCATAGAAACAACGCCTCCAAAGACTGGGCATATCAGTATGTGGCTTACCCTGCAGATAACAGATACTCACAGAGGACGACGTTCTGATAAGTATCAGTTTGTTTTAGCTTGGCTCATTGATATGTATTGATCAATCACAAAATTGTCTGCTCTTACCTTGGACTTCATAAAGTTATCAAGCCGAGTCGACATGTTGACGTCTTTTGTACAGAGACACTGACGTTATCAACGAGTTTGGTGGTCAGTAGGTAAACCTACACTTATTCCGAAGCAACAAACGTTGTAGGTTGAGAAAATCTAGAGAATAACAAAAAGAATGAGACTGTAATGATAATAAGGAACTTAGATATTAACTTCCAACAAGTATTCACAATCACAATGAAAGGTGGCCATTTCAAGATTCCTGCCTGTTGCCTCGAGGCGTCGTCTCATCCTCGTCTGCGCCACGTATTCCAACGCCACATCTCGGTGGATCGGCGACCATCTCTCCCGAACCAGTTCAACAAACGACAGTGGTCCGTGCACGCAAGGCCCCGCGAAAAGCAGCGCACAAAATGAATTCTCCAAATTCATTCATATCGAAATCGTCAACCCGTGCCTTTGACAAGTTTCCGTTCAACCCATCCACCTTGAACTACCGCCAAGATGCCTCAAGAGGTCGCCGATATCAAGAAGGTATGGAATGCGAGTACCAGCGGAAGGATTGAAATACTGACTCAATTACTAGTTCATCGAGATCTGCCGTCGGAAGGACGCCTCCTGTACGTTTTGACGAAATAAAACACCTCCACGAAAACACGCAGTTCGATTCTAACAATTAATCCCAACAGCCGCGCGGATCAAGAAGAGCCAGAAGACCAACAACATCAAGTTCAAGGTCCGCTGCCAGAAGCACCTCTACACCTTGGTTCTCAAGGACACCGACAAGGCCGAGAAGCTCAAGCAGAGCCTTCCCCCCAGTATGATCCTCCGCCAGGACGCAACGATGATACAAACCGCTGACACAGCATACAGACCTGCAACTCACCGATGTCTCCAAGAAGGCTAAGAAGTCCGCTTAAGAAGGTGGTTGAATAAAGGGTTTACTCTGGGTGTGGGAGGATTTCACAGGCACGAATGGGCGTCTCGGGATACCTTGCATTTCATCATGTGCTCTGAAAGGAGGATACTCGGATGAGTCCAAAAAATAAAAAGAACGATTCGAGTCACAAGATACTGGGGTCTTTTGCGTGACGAGTGTTGAATTGGCTAATGCAGCAAAGGCTTGTGCTCGAAGCGGGAGACTTTGGTAGCTTCGAACCTCACAGCTATACCGGACTCGATCACGTCTTCGAAGCCTGGGGATGCGATTATCACCATGATTGAATCGTCGCCCTCTATCCTCCATCCTGCCCACATTCTTTGACCTGGTAGTGTTGCGGATTGGGTCTCGACGGACCGATATTCTTTTTCGAGAGATGCTTTTTCTTCCGGCTTGACTGATATTTTCCAGACCTTGATCGATCCTCTGGCAAGAATATCTCCTCGAAATTCATTTTCTCCAGCTGGCGCCGCATGATACAAGGCCACGGCGTCCTTGTCTTGACTGATGAATTCTTTGAGCTCCTGCATTAGGGAGATGTTCTCTTGACTTTGGATCCATTCGTTGTGACCATCAACAGATTCCCATGGTGCTGTTAGAAATAGGTACGGCGCTTCGCCATCGGTGACCCAAACGTCGGTGGTGTAGTTGTAAGGCTTTCCCTCCAGCAGTTTGTGTTGGTGTTCCCTAATCCATTGAGCTTGTACTTGCTGGGTCTCTTTGAGGATGTTTCGTAGCTTATCCCCGTGGTACCCTGGCTTTAGCTGGATGGAGGCTGTTTCAATGACGCCGGCCATTTTATCGGCAAAGACTTGAATTGCTCAAAATTGAGAAAGGCTTAGATGCCCTATACCCATTACGATGAAGCTGAATAAATAATCAGTCAATCAGGCATCTTTGGCGACGTTGATGCGGGGTTCAGTAGATGATGCGCCATTGAGTTGCCTGGGAAGGATCACAGTCAACAGCGCAGTCGTCAGCCATAGTGTTGAAGATTGGCAGTAATCCAAGGAGATTTCCGTGCATTTGATACAGCCATCGTGTCAACTCTTTGGCCCAAATCCTTCGTAGAACCTCATACTCTGACAATATCCTGATTAGGGAAGGAATCAAAACTCAGGACCTTACCAGTAATCCTAAATGATAAAAAGACTTAGGTAACTTAGTACAAGTTCAGGATATCTTTTGCTGAGTTTATTTGATACCCTGCATTAAGGTCTGATGTTTTCTTGCTCCCTGAGGTATGAAAATGATAACCTCAATCTCAAGACCGTCTTGTCCAGTTCTGTTGTGCCTTCAACCAACCAAGTCATTGTCGACAGAGACATGCGTGCAGCCTTGACATATGGATGCCTCGAATTATTCCGTGCCTGGATTGCCGCCCTCCAGAAACTTGAAGAATGTCAACTTATTGCCATCAGGGTCTTTGATAGCGAACTGCCGAAAACCCCACGGCTTATCTTCAATCGCTTCTTCAATCACCTCACTTCTCTGACCCTTGACAGTATCATGCAGCATGTCCAACTGCTCTGTACCCAGTGCGATATATGCCGACCCTGGTTTGACCTCACCATCAGGTTTAAAGAAGTAGATATTGGCTGCTGCTTTGTCCCCTGCAAAGATTGAGCAGAAAGTATAATCTGAAGACGGCCCGTCCTCTGGCTTTACCCCGCCCAATTCGAACCCAAGAAAGTCGACATAGAAATCGAGAGTCCTCTGTATTGATTTTGATTCGAAAGTTGGAATAATTTTCCATGCTGAAGTGATTGGCGCCGTCATGTTGTGTCTGCTCAATATAGTATTCGTATAAAAGAGATGCGAATACGAAAGTGTTTCAATGCATTTAGCAGCAGCCAAGAGGAGCGTTATGTATGCGACACAATTGATGCACGCTTTGCTGTCCAGTAACAGGCAACAGCTTCTCCAGTACGGATACGGCCACACCAATGAGTTATAGCTGCAGGCACCAGCATGGATATTTTCCCGCCTGTCGTCATATTTTAGCTTCGCCTCGACGACGTAACTGCAAACCTGCAAGTTCCAACGACTCCAAATACTCTGTTGCTTCGGCAGATATTCGAGGCTGGCTCAAAGTCTCATAACCTGATTTACAGAACCGCCTGGCCAACCAGAGTGTTCCCTATCACAATCAACCTCTTCTGGCGCACCGATCAACAGCTGAACCAGACGGCTTATCCGGCACACAGGGTCACACGGTTGGGTTGCTGTTGTATTGTTCGTTGCTATTGTCATCATCATCAATCACGCGGCTATAACTGCCGATGCTTGTCTCTTCTGCATTTCTTCTGCATCTCGTCTTCAACTGATAGGCATTTCAGAATCTGAAACCTTGAAATACCCGGTCCTCGCCGGGAAACTCGGTCCATATAGTTTTGCTTGTTCGATTTTCCACTCTCGGTTGCTGCATCGACAAATCGCGGGAGACGGGACGTCTAAGTCGTGGTGGTGGGCTCAGCTCAGTCTCCAGATAAACCTAAGCCCAGCTGGAGACTTGACTTTAGCGCTAGACCGCTATTTTGAGTTCTTCCAATTGGAGGCCTATCATTACACATTCAGTTCAACAACAGAGGACAGATGTTGTGAGCTGTTGGCAACGTCTTGTAGGCATCTCATATCAAATCGGATCGAATATGAAGAGATAATAACGATATCACTTAGATTGTAACCCAAGTCCCTTAGCCTGTCTCGTTAAAGCAGTTAGTTCCACCTCATCTTGTTGATCGTTGGTAACTGTCATCTGCACCATCGAGGCACTCACATCCGGAACCTTTCCTATTTCGGTTGACGGGCGTTTCCCTACATCGTCCTGCTCCTTCTCTTTTCCATCCATTGGAACAAGTGTGAGGTGTGTCAAAAGGCAGGTACGCTGATCTAGGGATAGAGGTGGAAAGTGCGGGGGACTCAATTACCCATTACGCCAACAATTCCCAGCGGTGCATCAATCTAACCTACGTCTACCTCAGACTTTACATAGTAAGGTAACCAACGCTTCATCTGTGACGCTACCGTTTATTGCCTTTCATTATCGTCTCTGGCTTGCATTGCATTGCATTGTTGGGAGTCGAGGTCCGTCCGTTGTTGCCCGCTTCCTTCCTAACTGTTTTAACTTATCACACCCCCGCTCTCGAATTTAAAGAAGTTACTTTCCACCCCCTGACGATGGTCAAGAAAGGCGACCACTAATTTACCTAATTAAGCAACTTTCCTCCTTCATCCATCTTTCTTCTTGTACTTTTCTTTCTACTGTTGTTGAATTAAATTATCTTCCTACAATCCTTTACTGCTATTTCTCGCTCTACAACTTTTCCACTTTCTACGAAACACACTGCAGTCATTCATCACGACAGGGGTCAGACCACGTAGTTGGAGATAAGATCAACACCAAACAACACGCGCGACACAATCACCTCCATGCCATCTGTGACCCCAGTCATGGTGAACGGGCTCAATGGCAGCCATGCCAATGGCAACGGCAATGGTCACGGCCATGCCTCCGATTCTGGTTCCGAAACTTCTGGCGACTCTAGCAATGGCAGTGCCCGTCGTCGCATGAAGTTGAGTCGCAAAATGTCTAGCCCTATGGCACCTCCTTTCATGGTATCGGCACCAGGAAAGGTCATTGTTTTCGGAGAACACTCCGTTGTTCATGGAAAGGTAAGTCGGTTCCGTCTTATCGCCAATTGCATGCTCACATGATTGGCGCATAGGCAGCCATTGCCGCAGCCATCTCACTGCGGTCCTACCTTCACGTCACCACCCTTTCCAAGTCGAAACGTACCGTCTCGCTCCGATTCGCTGATATCGGTCTCGTTCACACCTGGAATATCGACGACTTGCCATGGGACGCATTCCAACAACCCTCCAAGAAGAAGTCATACTACTCTCTCGTAACAGAACTCGACCCTGATCTTGTTGCGGCCATCCAACCACACATTGAAGTTGTCTCACCCAACCACCCAGAGGAGATTCGGAGAGTTCATCATAGCTCTGTCTCAGCTTTCCTCTACCTCTTCCTATCGCTAGGATCGCCATCCTTCCCTCCATGTCTATACACTCTCCGATCAACAATACCGATTGGTGCTGGTTTGGGCAGCAGCGCGTCAGTTTCGGTATGCCTTTCAGCCGCTCTTCTTCTTCAACTACGAACACTCTCCGGCCCTCATCCAGACCAACCTTCGGAAGAAGCACGACTCCAAGTCGAACGAATCAACAGATGGGCATTTGTGTCAGAAATGTGTATTCATGGAAACCCTTCTGGTGTGGATAATACGGTTGCGACACAAGGTAAGGCCGTGGTGTTCCAACGGACAGATTACTCCAAACCACCGACGGTTCGACCTCTGTGGGATTTCCCTGAACTGCCTCTGCTGTTGGTGGACACTCGACAATCCAAGTCCACCGCACACGAGGTTGCCAAGGTCGCAAAACTCAAACAAACCCACCCCAAGCTTGTTGGCGCGATCTTGGATGCGATGGACAAGGTCACGGATGCCGCTTCTGAGCTCATTCATGACACTTCGTTTGACAGCAATTCGGAGACAGACCTTAGCAAGGTGGGCGAGCTGATGACTATCAATCATGGTTTACTAGTATCACTGGGTGTTTCCCACCCACGCCTGGAACGAGTGCGAGAACTCGTCGACCATGAGGGTATTGGATGGACAAAGTTGACAGGCGCTGGCGGCGGTGGATGCTCAATCACTCTTTTACGACCTGGTGTACCCACAGATAAGCTACGAAAGCTTGAAGGACAACTAGAGTCTGAGAACTACGCCAAATTCGAGACGACTCTTGGTGGCGACGGTATTGGCGTCCTTTGGCCAGCTGTGTTGAAGAACGGTACAGAGGAAGATGACGAGGGAGGTATGGAGATTGATCTTGAGAAGTTCTTAGAAGCCGAGGGCACTGAGGGTGTCGAAAAGCTCGTCGGAGTACATGGCGATACTGGAGAAAGAGAAGGATGGAAGTTCTGGCGAGTTGAAAGCCAGTAAATCACTAATAAGACAGAACACGCTCAAGCTGTTGAGCATTTACTCCGATGTACACCATCTGGTTAGCCATGCATGGTCAAACACAACTAAGACTTGGAGAAGCGGTGGGAAAGGCCTCTTTGGGAGTTTTTGGCATATACGATTATAATCTAGTAATGCGACATGTTCTTTCTACTCAATTCATTTGGGCACTGCTCTGGGTTCTTAAGATTCGATGTTTAGGGACTACAATTCCGGGCTTGAGGTTTTAAAAATATATCGCATCATAACATATCCAACTATGTTGCGCTCTGACCGCTCTTCAGCAGTGTCACACGGTATTTCCAATATCCCTCTCGTACAGGATCCCATTTCTCTCCAAGACGTCGTAGACAAAGCTCAGCCTTTTCGTTGTCACCCTCTTCATCGTACAATTTGGCCAAGAAATCAAGCGCATGTGAACTGCGCACCTCTTCTGCTTCCTCTCCCAGTGCAGTGACAAATTTCTCGGCGAACTCTTTAAAGGACGATAGGGGACGAGAGCCTTTGGCTAAAACAGCAAAGACATAGTTCCAAGGAGACTGGTTCTGCGGCGCTAAATCAATCTTCTCTTTGGAGTAGTTGATCTCTCGATCAATTGTCTCTGCTGGAATGCGAGGGTCTGGCTCCGTAGGTCCTGATCCAGGGGTGGAGGCTGTGGGGTCTGAGAAGACAAGATAGAAGCGGTGCGACCAGGCTGAGTTGTTTCGCACATCTTCCTCAATGTGGTTTTGGGTGGAAAGAAGCTCACTCATAGTCCACATGTACAACTTGGAGACGAGGTACTGGCGATATGACCAGACATGGTAGTTCTTGGCGTCTGATTCCAGCATCTTTGTGATGAACTGCGTCTCCGAGCGAGCCAGTTGACGGACAGTCGCGGTATCCTCCTCGATGAGAGGATAGTAGTAGTCCATCAAGAGCTGGCGATGGTTCCAAATCTGGTAGTTTTTGAGATTACTGAGGGCAACCTCGTTCAACCATGTAATCTCATCAGGAATACTGAGCTTGAGCACCGAGATAATCTTGAAGCGGAACAACCAGACGGTGTAGTGTGCTGGGTTCATGGCAATGACGTGCTCTGTCAAGCGCAGACTTCGGGGAGAGCACTCGTCCGCGGCCATGACGGCGCGGAGGTAGGATACGGCTATGATGCTGTTCAGTCAGTCACTCCTTTAGACTTGGGCATCAAACGGACGTACCCTCAGCATAGTCGTCCGGATAGGCAATCTGCGCTAGGGCGCCTTCGGGCTCGTTCTGAGGGATGGGAATGACATCGTCCCATTCAGGATCCTGGGCCAGACTTCCCGTGATCTCCCCATACAAGTCCCTCTTGAGCGCAGCCATAGCTTTTCTTCTCGTCTTTTCAGCGGCGATTTCCTCGGTGGTTACTTCGAGTTGCTTCTCTCGCTTTTTGAGAAACTGACGGTGCTGTATTTGCAGCGATGTGAGCTTTGCGTGCTTTAGAGTGCGCTGCTCAAGCTCGTCGGGCGAGTATGTCCCGATATCTCGTCCGGAACGGTCTTTTCCCCAGGCGTAGTCGCGGGGAAGTCTGCGAATAGGTAGACCCTCTTTCGTAACAAACTTCCAGAACTCGCGCTCTGTCTTGTTGGAAAAAGGTACACGGCGGTTCACAGCAGGATGGATGAGGTTGACGTGTGCGTATGTCTTCTTCTCAGCGGGAGTAAGTGCTGATAAACCTACTTGCTGACGACGGTTCTCGATAGGGTTCGTCTGGAAGAAGCGCTG